ACCAATCACTAATTATTCGAACTTGTTATATACCCACGAATACGAGACCAAGGAAGAACACGATAGCGTAGTCGGATGGAATAGTATATTTGGATGGTTATGCCAAAATACCGATGCGTTCCAACTAACTGGCTAGAGAGTCGAATACGAGCAATGCAACGTAACACGACAGCGTGCCAAATGGCCAGGATGCTTGACCGGGTGCCTTCAGCTTAGCGAGTCCAGTTAAACTATCAAGGTCAGCATCAATGTCGAAAGTCGTCAAACCCTAGGCTATTGATTTTGGGGAAGTGTATGACGCTACAAGCTGTGGCAACTGTGACCGTTAGGTAGTAATATCTGGTCTCATGTTAATATGGATAGATGACGGGTGAAATTTATGTCGCTTTGCGAATATCCTTGTTTGTACACAGTGTCTCTAATCACCAAACCATTGAATGCTCAGAAGTCTGCAAACAGTTTTCCATTCTCATTCATTTCACCGGGTGCCTCTCTACCCATGATGAGTTCTCCTCCTGTATTGTCTGATCCCAGTTTGGCATTCATGTCACCCCACCCATTAGAGTTTTGATGTCACCAACTGGAGTCTTGTCTTATACTGATTGCAATCGTCTGTAGAATTCCTCCTTCTTCTCTTGATATGCATTATTTGTACGTGCGTAGCATAGCACTGTGTGATTGCGACTCTCCCTTCTTTTTGAGTTGAATCTTGCTGTCATGATCCTGCAGGAGAAGATTGGTTCCCACTGCATGGGAGCCTTTGATGCTCTCTGGGATATCATTATAGCCACTCCATAACTCAGTGTGCTCGTGGTTATCGTCTGGGTGACAATATCGGAGTAGATCATTGACTCTCCAGTTAACAGTTTAGAGAGTCCATTTCCATTCCATCTACTTTCGCAGATTCCAAGCACTTCTATGCCATACCTTCTCATCTCTTTTACAATCTGGGCTGCCTTGCTGGGTTCAAACATGGTGCGGACAATCCATGTCCCGATGTTTAATTTCACTTTCATCGACGGAAAGACACATCGGTTAACTGGCTTCCCGAAGACAGGCTCTCACCAACCGGGGTCGTTTTGTCTCACCGACTCCAGAGAGGAATAAGTTTATTTTTCATGTTTTGTTTGTGCTTTGAAGTTTTTTTGTGTTTAGATTGGTTTTACTGGTAGGGCTGCTAGCCCTATGCCCAACCTTTCCTCTTTATCCGAGCTTGGACCGGCTAGTAATTAGTGAACTAGTTAACCAGGCGAGGCTTCTGTAGATGAGAATTACTCTAAAACCCAGTGTTCTAACATTAACACAGCCACCAATTTTTTCACTAGAAAGTGATATTTTGTTGCATTAGACTAAACGGAAGATATTTTCCACAACCTATGTATGGTATCAAACACGAAAATGAAAGTCATTCAAAAAGTTACACTTTCTACACACAAATGATTGGAGTATTCTAGACGAAGAAAACGTCAAGAGAAACTGACTTAAACACAATGGTATTCCAGTGGTTTATTAACAAAAATGAAATACTGACGCGGAGGTCTAGTCCTTAAATCGTAAAGAAATGAAATGCTAGCTAAGAGGATTTTCCTAAGAGGATTTTTGTAGACTCCCTAGAGCAAAACAGTCGGATATGTATTTACTACAAACTAGCATTTATAAAACTCTCGACTGATTGTTTGCCATCTGGAGGTCAAGTTGTGAATATTTATCTCTGTTACACTACTGCATACGACTGACTGCTTCATTTCAACAATGTTTTTGCGTCTAGACTTTGATCAAATATTGTGTACACAAGTAGTTAACAACAAAAGTTCTCTCTTATGATATTCGTTTAGTTTGAACCTGGTGATAATCGCCGTTCGGTCACAGTGAACCAACTATTGATAGTCGCCGACTTCATTATCCAGTTACCTAGTCAGCACTAATACCCACAAAATGAGGTTACAGTTACAACTATCTCTTCGTCGATACAAATCCAAAATAAACTATAGATGATTTTGTTTTAAAAGTTAAGTATTCAATGCATTCGTAAATTTTCAGAAAAATACCTAACATGCTGGACTATGTATATGTAGGAGTCTGACTGTGCTGCGCTCCCCCAGTCCTACATATATCAATGTGCGCCAGTACCAAACTAATCAGTATCTTACCTATGTTTAAGCACTGATAACAAAAGACGATAAAACACGTTAGATGGTAAAAAGAAATGCTGAGACGAGTAGTTTATTTATCAGTCAGAGGTTATTTTAGGAAAACGGTAAAATTATAAGTCTATTAGTGCCTGAGCTAGATAGTGAGTGCGTTGCTGTAGCTTAGCACGAAGAGGACTCCAAAATGCCAAGTGTCGAAGGACATGGCAAAACAAATTTACAGAACTAAAGTCACTGGCCAACACCGTGGATTACTTATCTACTGTTAAGATATTTTCAATGCTTACTTATCTATTTTAAGCTTGGCAGTATTTTCGGTGCCAACAGGGTGTACTACATATACATGATTTCCTGGAACGAAAGTGAAGTCGCATGGGTGATACACCAGTTTCCAATGATGAATATCACTCGACTAGCCCAAAGACTAAATCTATTCATTTTGTACACTTAAACAACATACGTAAAATGGTGCAATAAATAAGATGACATAGACAACTTCGTGAAGTACTCATGAAAAATAGTTAGTATTTAAGATCAACTGAAAATATATTAAAGGTTGGACAAAAGTAACCAGTCAGTTCTTGTTTTTTGCATGTCCTGTTCAAGAAAACAAAATACAAATGACATACCCAAGTGGTCATGTAGTGGACACACTTTTCGGAGTTTCACTGAGCCCAAAAACTACTTCCGTGGTCCACAACCGGCTAAAGCAAATGTGAAGGATAATTCCCCTCTTTTATTTACTACAATAAGCGCGAAACCATATCTGAACACTCCATGTAACCGTTTAAAGGGAAATACAGGTCAGGTTATAGTTTCATTCTTACAATTTTGACCGGCTATGCTCTTACCATGTTTTAGCAATCGTTTAAAAGATTACTTTCAATAGCTCAAATTAGTGCACATGTAGCAAAATCGTTAGCGACAATATATTCAGTTTTCTTTTTCTGTTAAAAGTAATACAACCTTTGAACTGTTTTGAGTTTATTTTATTATTTACGATATAGAAAACTCTCACCATAATTCCCTTTTCTTCCACCTTCTTCTACAGACCTTATTCATAAATTCCCTCTGTTGAAAACACTAAGACTCCACAATAAATAATCTTATGCTTTTCTTATCACTTTTGTGATTATACCAAGTCTTTGTACTTCTGATGAAGAAAAATTACTACTCCTTTGTAACAGGCTTTGAATGAAAGGATCCCAATTTCTTAGCCAACAATATATTTAATTCATTGTGAGCATAGGCTATTTTAGAGATGATTCATTATAGAAAAGAATTTTCTTTTTGTTAAACTATCTATCAAGTGAGCTTATCCCAACAGTCGAATATCAATATGGATCTTAAGTTAGACGTATTCCTTAGATAAACCACTGTCTATTAGACTGGTCATTTTTCGGGCTAATGGAAACTGAGCTATTATTATTCAACTTTAAATAGTTTGTTTTCCCACTGTCGAAGAAAAATCGAAACACACTCAGCAACGTTGTGCACATTCATGCAGTAGGTAGTTAGCCACACCTACAGCGTGATGTTGTGAGCCTTAATCGAGTAAGATAACTTGAACATGTACCGTACATGCCGAGCCACCATCTTCGTTAGCGTACCATCCTACGGGAAGTTGAATTGGGTTAGGAGAAGGTTCAGAGTAGCCTGACCAAAACGTTGCACCAGTGTGTGAAGTTCCTAACTATTCGTCTGAGTCGTGTGAGGAGATGTAGACTGTCTGGATGGGGTCCGCGAGACAAGATGAATAAGTGGTTGAGAACACGTGGTAATATGTCTGGAGATCGGTCACAAAAGCGCAGATATATTCACTCATTGACGTCTTCGAAATCTTGAATATTTGCACTAATCGTTATCTTTATTCTCTCAAACAACTTTGTCTATTTTGATATCAGTCTTTTTATATTCACCTGTTCTTTGTATATTACTGTGAACCAATGCATTTGTATGTATGAGGTTCCCCACTGATTGTGTCTGCCTGTCCTGTTGCGTAAGGGCTAATGATACTACCTGACTACGGAAACTACCAAGTCACATCTCCAATGTGTTCATATGAGTGATCTACAAAATGAGCAAGAGTACCAAGAAAGACATATCGAAAACTGTATTCACTATTGATGTTACTTCTTGATCGATTACTGCGAAGAAAAAAACAGTCACAGTGAAGTAGAGAAAAATAATTTGTCAAAATATTTGTATATTCTTAGGATTGAAGAAATGAATAGTTTTTCGTAAACTAAGTGTGTACTGAAGTTGAGAACATTTATAACTTTTAAAACTGAAAAACAATATACATTTGAACTTACAAAGAGCAAACGAATAAATACAGTTGACTTTATTGGAAACACTACGATCAAAAATGCTTCCAGAGAGTTTAAAAACACCAAAATTATGAATCACCTTTGTACTGATCATATGGAGAATTTAGCGTTGTATATAACTAAATGGCAGTAATTCGGGTGTTTTTTTTTAATTTGATCATTTTACGTTACCAATGTCAACGGGTTCAATCATTCAGTTCTACTGAATACCAAGATGTATACATGTTTACAAATAATACATAAAAGATTTGTAAGCTATGTCGACGGAATTCTGTTCAACCTAGAGGATAAAATTCTAATGCATACAGGCCAACAAGAATGACAAGAAGAATTACCAGATGAGTAAAGAAAAATCCAAAAGATACGCGTGTTATATGTATTATACACGCGAAAGGAATCTACTGAGAACAAGAAAATGGCTGTGAATTTAACACGAAACAAAGAGAACGCTAATACTAGATACCAATGGATGCAGGGCTACATTATTGAGATTTTATAAACTGATATATCGAACTACAGATTACACACAATTTTTCTTAGAATCTTTTGTTACTGTATCAGATTCCGTTTCTTGTTGTTTTGTTTCCTCCTGACAAGTAATAGGATCTTGAACAGCCATCCGGATACGGGAAAGAAGAAAACCATTTGTTGTATCTATAGCACGTTTGCCATCTATAAAAGTCAAAAGTGCAGAAAATAAAAGTGTTGTCATGAAGTTGGCGAAGCACCAGGAAGCAATTTGTAATGTCACTGGATAATAAACTAAAAAACTAAAAGTAAAATACTAGAAGTCAAACAAAAAGAAGCGCTTAACGACATAGCTTGAAGTCATCAATTTTTTACGACTTTTCATGAGGTTGAGTATAATTTCCGACAAATACAAAATTTGATTACACTTAGGTTACAAGGACTTTAAAAGCTAACATCTTATCGATAAGTATAGATGAACTGGATAAACTTTGACTTCTTTTGAGGAAGTACGCACTTCTAACGTCTATTAATTAGTTCAACGTAAGAAAAGTATCAATAAACGTTGACAGAAGACAATTCTGTCATCAAAGTTTCAATATCGTGAGCATACATCCCCTTGTAAACCGTAAAATATACTTCGGTAACATATTATTTTGTCACCCTTAAGTCAATTTAATCAATCCAGTCAGGAAGGTCAGACCTGGCATTACTGAAAAACGACTAATGCTACTACACTCTATATCAGCAGATTAAAGAAGGTACCAAACTGAAAAATAGAGAAATAAAAATGAAAGTAATGAACGGTTTAAAATACTGAGAAGTAAGAGAACAAGGAATGAAACTGTAATCGAGATTGGGCTCGACAGTTAAGATGAAAACGTATGGATACTTTTGTGCTATTTAGATCCATTCCAAGACAATCACTTAGAGTCTCCAAACACTGATTTCGTTTGTCACACGGACAACAACCAGGAAGTCTCCACTCACCTATATAACACAGAACAACAGCCAAAGACATCATGCGTTGGTGGTATGTTCTTGTCCGGTTACTTACAGCCTAGCCCTACTTCATGAAACAGTGAGATATGGAATAGACAGAGAGTATATGTGCCTAAAACATATCACAGTCAACCAGCTTAATCGACGAAGATTCATAGCCTTGACATCTGACTGATGTATTTCAGCTAAACTCTTCGCTGAACTGTACACCACTAGAAAGGCTAGTACAATGACATACACCCTGTGCCAACAAGGCAATAGTGATCAAATATCTGAAGCCTTCTAATTTCTTCCACCGTTAATAACATGTTTCATAGCCGCATAGGATAGTGAAAACTTCAGCAGAATATACTCCACCCTTAGTAGACAATTAGATATCTCACCGGTACAACAGACAGCGTAAGTTGGTACAGGCCAAGCAAATCTTGCGTATCCCCACAAAGGTTTTTTTCAGTCACTGACTCACCAGGGCCGGTCTGACTTCCCAAATTAGTGAAGTGCTCAACTGCGTCACTTCCTGATGTTAGGTACGGCCCCAAAGCAGAATGGTTGCGCAGAAGCAGCTTACACTTTTGCGTGGTGAGAAAAGCAACGCAAACCATCTCAAATTGTCACTCAATGTGACAAGACAGCATTTTTTAGCATCGTCAACTAACAGAACCGTGTCATTTATGTACTTCATGTCTACTACGGAATCACCCTGAACGAAAATAATCTTAGTAAAGTCAGACGAGGAGAGAAAGGTGCTCATGAGGACATCTACGACAAAATCAAATTGGAGTGAAGAGCGAGAATATCCTTCATGAGCACCAAAAGGCAGACGCAACTCAGTATAAAGATAGACAGTTTTCCCTTGAAACAAACATTTACTTTATCCAAACTGCAGTCACTGGGTGCGTAACGAGACAATACAAAGAGACAACAGCGAGTTCTAATACTCTCTGTCGTCCTCACTTCATCATTCAGTTAGACACTTCATAGGCGATTCTCAACTGACATCCATTCGAGCAGTGCACTCTCGCTGCCATGAAAATCAATACTATGCCTACATCTGAAATACCACCAGAACTAGTCATCGATTCTCCAGAAATTTAGAGCGTAATTTTCGCAAATTCATGATATTGGCAGGGTGAGGTTATGTGAATAACCGCACTCGAGTCATGCATGTGCATTTCACAAACACGTCGTATATCCATGAGTCGAGATACCTGAAGGGTGTGGACATCGGAAACTTCAATAAGTAGTGGAGTGTGGTCTTAGGAGACCAGAGATGTTCTTCTGTGAAATGGATCGTCCTGAAGAACTACACAGTTGGAAGAAATAAAAGTTGACGTGAGAATGTTCACCGAGAGATATGAAGGAAGATTAGAAAGCAAAGATGTTGAAGTTTGGTAGTGATCTGAAGGGACTTGAGTGCTGACAGAGTTGTGAGGGTGGTTGTCGCCTCTCGGCTACTCACGCTGTGGAAAGTGACGTTTCCTTGGTGTACTAGAAAAATTAGTGGGGTGAGTAATATGGACACTTGACTGCGAAGTCAACGCGATATCTGCTCGTAGTGTACCACACAAGGTGTTTTAGAAATTTGAGATTTAGTTGCGATTGATTCACATCCAGCTAGGAAACGCACCACTAGTAACGGAATATTGTAGGGACGCAGGTAACATGATACTTTGGGGGTTGACATTCTCGGACTGTCCTATCCCGTAGGAGAGGCGGCCTCAGGACGAACTGCTGGTCATTCATGAAAAACAACCAACTGCCATTAGATCCCCGTCTAGAAAACAGTATGATTTCGCCTTCTGTTCCTCATGGTAGAGTAGCTGTCCAATGTCCAACATGACTTTCTCGTATAGTAGGACCTCGAAGGAAAAAGGGTTCCACCAGCATAGCTCGGATTATTGTGATGTCCAAGTCCAATATGAGACGCATGAATTTTCAGAAATTACGGGTGAATTTACTTGAAAAATGACTAGTTGGGCTGAGTAAGCGCAGTTGTACACATCAACTCTCTAACAGAAAATCTCACTCACAAATAATACAAAACTGCCTGCAAACAGCTGAATAGTCAAAAGGCAAAATAATGTTGAGAAGATTTATTCAGTATTGAACAAGTCTACAGCTCTTCAAAGAAAGGAAACATTTTCAAATGTACATGTTGGATTGAAGGAATGAAAAGACAGCCTAATCCACTTCACGTGATCAGACGATGAGTGGACTGAAAACGGATGAGAGGTATTAAAATATCAAGGTCACAAGTTCTACGAGAAGTTAGAGATGACTGATAAATTAGTTATCTACTGTGCAAGTCTAATGCAGAATATGACTACGAACAAATGAACTTATTCGTAATAAAACGACCATACCTATTTTCTGAAAATTTTTAAGGTTGTATCATAGAGCCATTTGACTCCGTCTGTTATTCGACCCAAAACACTGGATGCTTCCGTTTCCTCCCTAGTATCAGTCTGACTGTACGAATTTGAGTCAGAAGTCACTGTCGATTGTGTTTCCGAACTTTGGCCGAATGAATGTCGTAAGTTTTCATATAGTTGACGGAGACCTAAGAAATATGAGTGATAAATTATTGAGAAGGTGAACCAAAAGAAAATCTTGCTCACCAGCGCCAATATAGGAACTGAAGTGTGTGTATATATACATAAACGCCTGAAGTTCACTCGACTAAGTCATTATCAATATGTGGTTCATGTACAATAACATAGTCATACAAATATCGTTAGGATGACTTCCAAACAGCGGACAGTGCATTTATCTAGGCTTCGCAAAGTCGAAAATAACAAACCATAAAACAATGACTTGCAAGAGTTTGCACTTTGTTTAAACTTAATTTCACAATTAACAGTTTACACCTCGTGAAAATGATCCGTGGTATTTAATCATGAAGAAGTAAAGTAATAGTTGTCAAACTTTCCTTTGATAAATATTAAACAACCACCCTAAAGATGTATTATATTTCGACAGTAACCACCAGGACGCCAATTCAGTGGAATTTTAACCTGGTTGTTAAAGTTTATTGTTATTGTCTCAGATATTGTAAGATATCAGTATGCTCCTAGGCACTATCCGTCAAATATTACGTGAGGCACTGAAAACGACGATCTAATTCCTATCCACATATATACCTGCTACATGTAGTTTTAGATCAATGGGATTATGCACTGAACGGTCGTGGCTGGTACGTGTTACACATTCCTAGTCACCATCTGCCCCGCCGTGTAATGTGAACTGAAGTAGGCTACCTGGAAAAGGGTTAAAGGTGACCAGACTAGAACATGGTACAAGTGATTGAAGTCTTTGACTGTTGATCTGAACCCTGTGATGAAGCACAGACTTTCTGGTTGGGGTTCACATGACAATGCAAACCAGTGATTGATGACGGTATATGATATGCTTTACAATCGACGTCAATGGAACACATGTATCCATACATTATTTTCAGCTTAAGCGTCAGATTGAATTTTCTTCCTTTTTGTCTCTTGATGACTTCCTACCGCTTTTGATTACTTTCTTCTTTATTTTTGCATCTTTCATTTTAGTGCATTCTCGCTTGATATGCTGATATGAGGTGTGGGAACTCGGACCGCTGTGCAGTAATGCCAGGTCCCGAGTTGGTGCTGATTGACTGATTTCTGTTTCATTCATAGACAAGAGAACTCACAGGTTTGTTGGAGGATAGAAAACATATTTATTCTTCAAGAAACTTTATTTACAAAAATCTACCCATACTGAGCATTTTTGATAGCGGCTGTGAAACTTTTATTACCATATTTCATTTGATGCTTAAAAGCGTAAAAGCAAATATGCATGTTTCCGTTTTCCAATTTCACCAATTACTGTCTTTGATGTGTGATAGAAACATAGTGAGTCGACTGTTTTATCCTACTTTCGACTGGTCAACAACTATTTATATTTCGGCTTGCTAGAAGTGTAATTACAGCATAAATTCATTCAGCTTACACTGAATTCCCAGATGTCTGGATGGATTTTTTGTGACACGGGCGGTTAACCAGACATAATTCGGAAGCATTATTTCCATTCGGTTGTAAAAACATCAATACGGACTGAAAATGACGTTGAAATAAAAGTTGGAGGAAATCGATATACCTTACGGCTTAATTCAAATCAATGGATGCACATCAACACACATCAGCCTGTTACCAAGCAAAGTAAAGAGGTGGCATAAGTGAGGATTGAAAAAGAATCGAATAAATGACTGTGAACAGTGAAAGGTTAAGAAATAAAGAAGGCAGTGACGACAGATAGTTGCAAACAGCTTCCAGGCGAATCCAGTCATTGAAACTCGCTGTAGGCAAATTGGTGAATATCAAAACGTTAGATTAAAAGACTTAGTGAGACAACTTTATTGATCTTCAGGTACTAATAATCATATACCTGATGGGAATAATCTAGTGAGCTCATTAAGCCGTGGTTTCGAAATCTTAAGGAAGTTGAGAAGGCTCTAGAGAATCTTGAACAAAGAACTAAGTTCCGAGATAATCCCTCCCCTTCGTGGATTCTCCATTTCCCACGGAAGCAAAATGAATAATCTCCTGTGACGATCAAAGAGGAAATAGGTCTACTGTGGCTTTTCAGAATTCAACTTAGAGAAAGATTCTACATATCAACGCGCAATAGGTGATTTTTCATATGAAAGAGGTATTTAACATCTGGGTGGTGCGATAGCATCTTATTGGATGGGTGTCTGAGATATGGATATGTTCGTCAGGGATATCCAATCTCTGTCCTTACTTGACTCTAACGTGGACAACTTTTCAATACAAATCTACAATTCGAGAATGATCGACTGTAAATTGTCGCCTTAAGAAATAGTTTGCATTGCTACCTCACTTAATGGAAAAAAATGAAATTGTTGTAGGCCACGATGATTTCACTACGAAGTCAAATCAACCTTACCAAAGTGGTGACTAATCAAGATTTCGGTAGGTATACGAGTTTCTTGAATAATTTCTACCAACTTACTTCACGTATAACGCATGCAGCTCTTGTTTGTTACTTTAGCAGTAAGGTATACAAAAGTTTCAAAACATCTGGAAGTGCTATTGACTTAAATGATGAGAAGTGATTTAACCAACTTTTATACTTCAAAGTTTAAACCAGTCATGGTAAACTAGGACATTAAACACCGCTGAGAAGTTTCTATGTAACTAGTATCATAGGTAATGATAAAATAATAAGATAAATTAAAGGTACGAGTTAAGTACTCCCAAATTATGAATTAAATATTTACTGCGATGCCAAAACTCCAAAGTAACATCGCCAATACGACCACCATCACATTTCACCCATGGAAATATTACACTTTAGAGTCAACTCAAATCAGTTCACTGGTAACCTTTCACTACAGTAGCATCTTGCTCGTCTACTTAAACCCATTAATCTCCATAGAAATGCACCAGTCTTAGTCTACTTAAAAAGGACTTGGCAAAGCACTGAACGAAAATGTACAATGTTGAGATGATACTTTCAGGTTAAGCAACCTTAGGATATTCTTGAAACGCTTGAAAAGAATAGTGAGTTGATAATCAACATGGGTTACATCAAAATTGCAGATACACACGCTTCAACATGCTTTACTACCACCTCTCATTTGTATTTCTTCATGAACCAGAATTATGCATCTGCTACACGTCAGTTTAGCACCAAGAATTCTAAAGTGCTTTACATTCAAAAAACTGGTCACTGATATTTGTTAGATTTCAATGACTGAAGGATATGAGAAGTCCAGCGACTAGGATGAAGCTTTGAACTATGTAATGACATCAGTTTTACCTAGTTCTTATAAAAAGTGAAGTAATTCGTATAGAATTCAAACAAACTTCTAAAATGTGTTGTATACCAGGCGCATAAATTTACTAATAAAGATCGGTATATGAGAAGAGACTTTAGGCACCGTGGTAAAGCATGATAGAATATCGGTATATACGCAGCATGTATGATAAACAGGCATTCAAAACAGCATTAACTCATTAGTATTTCAAAACATGCCAAATAAAAGATTTCCTCAATAAAAATGGGAAAGTTCCTACTATTACATGCTCCAATGTAACTGGGCATTACCAAAAATCAACAATCTGAACGAAGAATATTCTCTTTTCAATAAATTCTCATCAGGTTCTTCAATTATAAACTGCATTTATGCAGCGAAAAACCACGGCAAGTCAAGGGCAAATGCATTTTCAAAATGGAGTGAGATTCAGAGTGTAGGGAAAATATTAGTATGACATATTTACAAATGTAACAGTGAACGAGAAGACAACGAATACAGAAGTGGTCTTTAAGTTAATGAAGATCAAAGGAGAAATAACGTTTGAATATGATTTTTCTGAATGCATAGTTCAGGCTTGGTAAGTTTTATGAAAACAGCCTTAGCTATGTTGAGTAGGTGTTCGCGAGCAATATGTGGTATTGTTTTCGGAATACACTGTATAGCATTGAAGGCTTTATTAGCATGTGATGCTCTGAGTCTACTAGGTGCACCAGGACGGAACGTTTCACAACTTCCACTTTATCTTTTCTGAATCCTGTCGGTAAATGCTGTCTTATCCAGAGACGCATCCACCAAATCGTGTATCCTACGTAACTTGTTCCACGAGAACAGTTAAATTGATATATGGAGGATGAAGAGCTTAGATTAAGTAGGCTATCCTTCAGTCTCGGATTGAATTTTGACCGATTACTGAAAGATATACAAAGACGACTGCTCTAGCTAAGCGTTTAAATGGGATATCACTTGGACATCTTCCTTGAATTGTAAACTCAGAAACAACGGCTCCTCCAATGTCATCAATTCTCGTTTAGGACCAATATAAGTGATGTTAGCTTTGATGAACTTATCCAGATATCCATTTACACTTAGAATCTCAAGGATACAGCTCTCTTTTCACACACTTCTTGGAACAAATTGATGTTACTCTAAGTGCCAGGCACTTGATTATACTACGTTTGTACTCCATCGGCACGAAGTTGGAAAGGTGTGTATACTGTGCCTTAGATGTCGGTTCTCTATATATACAACTCAGCATAAAGCCTTCTTTTGTTGCCGTTAGCACACCAAGAAAATGTATTGAATCACTGATCTCATTCCACAATAGATTGTTTATCTGGGTGACTTTAACGACCACCTTAGCAAGAATCAAAATAACCAATTAGGTTCCTCCATTTCGTTTGGAAAGTCAAATTTTCATTAAATACAGAAGTTTGATTGGTTATTTCAGTTGTTGCTAGGATAGTCTCTAAAGTCACTCGTTTATTTGATGTAGCACTAAGTGACAAAGTATAATTTACTTGATGACGTTTCGAGCAGAATTTATTGCTCATATATATATCAAAGTAACTTCCATTATTTAGTCCAACGGTTCATTCATTTCCATGGTCCTAAAATTTTCCATATATTAAAATTATGTGGTGGAGTCATTCCCGTTAAATGTGTTAGGTGTGGATTCAATGAATAAAGATTCTGTCATCAATCTTTCCCTCCATATAGCCAGTTATATTGGATTTTAGAATTGTCACCTTACCCACCCTATAGTGTGGTATGAGTCAGTGAGCGCAGAGCGATAACCAGGTTTTTTCTAAGTTGCTTAGTAGGGTCTACCATTGTATGTCTTGCTAATTTCTTGTGTTCTGCTATTCAGACTGGACAAGATCGGCTGCTTTGACTCATACTTGACCTCATGGTATTTGATAGACTAGTTTATTTTTCTTAATTGACTCTATTAGATCTTTCAGCCTGCGGAGTTTCTTTCTGAGTGGGTTTGTGGATTTAAATGCCAACCTAATCCCAGCATTTTTAAGAATTCTATGTGAAATTTCCGATGTACCTTTTTTATACGGCAACACTACAGAGGATTTGAATTCCCTCTCAGGTATGTTGAAATCACCACTAACATTACCACTCTTTCTTTTACCAGTCCTCATAAACCTTTTATCGAAAATCCGGAGGATAGTTATTAGGGAATAGTGTCCCTGTGAGGTATTTCATTCCCGTATTTAGGCTTTCCGACTTACTAGTCAAACTCCTAACCCGATTAGTTATACATTTAATCAAACCTACTTTGAAAGATATAGGGTGAGATCATGTGAAATCCAAGTATTTATTCGGATGTCCTGGTTCCCTATAAACACTGATAATGTAAGTTTCCATCTTCTCTCTTCTTGATCTTGCAATCCAACATAAGTAATTCTCCTTCATTTTTTAATTCATAATTGAACTGGACTGCATCTACTACCCAGTTAATGTGTGCGAAAAAAATCTGGATGTTTTATGACTTCAGCACAGTGTCACTTTTCCCTTACACCACTGAACTCATTTTTATATGTAAAATGAACGGATGGATGAGCGCTGTTAAAATGGTTCAAAATAGAATGCATAGGCAATTATCAAAGTCTAAAAATGTATCATCCATATATCGACAGTGCAACTCCTCATTGGTAATTTGATCATTCAAAGGACCATCTTCCAATTTTGCCAGAAATATGTTTGCAAATACTGGGCCTAATGGAGAGTATTCTTCGTTCAGATTGCTGTTTATTAGTGTTATAGGAATCTTTAAATGGTTAAAAACTAGGCTGGATAAATTAAAATGACTATATTTCAATTATGATTGCAAATTGAATGCGACTTAATAACGGAATCCGAAAAAAACTGGCTGTCAAACTAACGAATTCATACAGACATACTATAAACCGCAGTGTACGTCTGTAGATTAGTAATGCTTCAATAACATTTTACGGAAAAGGTGATAACAAACCACAAACACTTAGATTTGAAAACACAAATGGTATTTTTAGTACATCAAAAATAGGATAAAAATCAATTAAGAAAACTAACGTTTATCGGTTGAAGTGACACCCTCGACTGAACCAGTCACATCAGTTTCTGTTTCAGCGTACGCCAGGAGAAGAGCACGTTGTAGTTCACTCAGACGCCTATAAAAAGCAATACGAGTGAATGGCAAATAAATAGACGAAAACAAAATCGACCTAGTAAAAGTGACGACACACTGGTTTTTGTCAAGCAAATCATCCTGAATAGTCATTATAAATAAATAAATAATAATAATGATAATAATAATCCACTTTATTCCAAACAATTTGTGGTACAATTTCGAATTCTCAGCGTAATATATATTGCAATAACAACAAAATATAAGTATATACATACTACTTTGCAGCCTTTCCATTGTTTTATTATAAAAATTTAAGTTATGTGAAGAATATTAAAAACGAGAAAATTTTGCATTGTAAGTTAAATTAATGAAATGCGATTTTTAACTGTCACAAAGTTGATGTGTGATTTCTGTTCTAACACTTTTTTCCTCACAAAATATACGTGCAAGGTAAGGTGCAGTCGAGTTCTGATACTTAGCTGTACGACCATACAGTCTTATGTAGTTTCTCCTTGTCCTCCCTGAGGAGATACATGGAGAGAGCTGTAAATGAAGTGAATGCTCACTGTCAGTTAAAATTTCTGTGGCTAGTAGCTTGCAGGAATTTATATGTTGATCAACTACAGCGTTAATCAGTTGAGCCAGAGACACACCACTCACCCTGCTGACGGCCTTCAAAGCCCTACGCAACATAACATAGTCCTTTTTAAGAAGACCAGGAAAGAATAATGGAGAACAATATAGAAGAATAGGTAAAATGCAGGAACTAATAAATTGTAAAAGAAGCAGTTGAGTTATACCAGAAAGCCTCAATTTACTTAAGAAATAAGTTAAACGAAAGATTTTTTTACAAGTCAATAAAATATGGGACGACTAACAAAGGTCAGAAGTAAAACGCAACCCAAGATAGTTCACACTCGATTTACTTTCTGCAGAAATACCATTGATGTAGCAGGTGTCATGAGATTTAAGCAGCTCACATAAGTCTTGTTTATGCCTGAGGCTAAAATTAATAGTCTGACATTTAGAGGGGTTTAGTTTGAGACCATTTACCAACTTCAGACAAGAATTCATTTAATCTCGAGCAATCCAAAGAAGAGTTTACTGGAATAGAAATCGTCAGGTCGTCAGCACACTTAGTTTCAACAGAATAAGGCAAATCGTGCAAAATAAAGGAAAACAGAAAAGGAGAAAGTACAGCACCTTGAGGCACATCAGCTTCAGTAAGCAATGAAGTCGAGCGCATTCATTTATGAATAGTGTACTGTTTCCTTTCAGAAAAATAAGAATGCAGACATTTTGTAACCCATGGATCACTGTGAGCTATGTCAAGCTTATTTAACAAAAGTGGTCTAGGAACAGAGTCAAAGGCTGATGAGTAATCCAGAAAGGCACAACGGACATACTCAACACCTTTGTCGAGACTAGAAACAATATTATGACGCCTGGTTAACTAGTTTACTAGTTACTAGCCGGTCCTAAGCCCGGGTAAAGAGGGAAGGTTGGGCATAGGGCTAGCAACCCTACCCCGTAAAACAAATCTAACCGCTAAAGAAACTTCAAAGCACAAACAAAATATAAAAAATGAAAACAAACTTATTCCCCGCTGGAATCGGAGAGGCGAAATGACGCCAGTTGGTGAAAGCCTTCGGGAAGCCAATTGGCCGATGTGTCTTCTCTCGATGAAAGCGAAAGTAAACGTGGGGACATGGAATGTCCGCACGATGTTTGAACCCAGTAAGGCAGCCCAGATTGCAAAGGAGATGAGAAGGTATAACATCGAAGTGCTTGGGATTTGCGAAAGCAGATGGAATGGGAGTGGACTCTCCAAACTGTCAACTGGAGAATCAATAATCTACTCCGGTCACCCAGACGCCAACCACGAGCACACTGAGGGAGTGGCTATCATGATGTCCTCAAGAGCATCGAAGGCTCTCATGCAGTGGGAACCAATCTCCTCCAGGATCATGACAGCAAGATTCAACTCAAAAGGAAGAAAGGTCACAATCATACAATGTTATGCACCTACAAATAATGCAGAGCAAGAGAAAAAGGAGGAATTCTACAGACAACTTCAATCAACACTGGACAAGACGTCAGTTGGCGATATCAAAATTCTAATGGGCGACATGAATGCCAAACTGGGAGGGGACAACACGGGAAGAGAACTAACCATGGGTCGAGAGGCGCTAGGTGAAATGAATGAGAATGGAGAATTGTTTGCAGAATTCTGTGCATTCAACGATTTGGTGATTGGAGGCAGTGTGTTCAGGCACAAGGATATCCACAAAGCGACATGGACTTCACCAGATGGACACACTAAAAATCAAATCGACTTTATCTCAATCTCAAGAAAATGGAGACGCAGTCTACTTAACACAAGGTCAAGAAGAGGAGCAGATGTAGGTTCAGACCACTATCTAGTGCAAGGAACCTTCCAAATCAAGTTAAAAGCCTTCAAGGAAGCTGGTGATAGACCTCAATTCAAGTACAACACTCGGAAACTGAAGGATGAAACTACAAAGGAGATCTTCAAAGCAGCCATCAAGACAAAATGGGAGACGTCGAGGGACATCCCTGAAGAAACCTGTGTAGAAGAACACTGGAAGTCTTTGAAAGCTATGTGGAAAGAAACCTGCACAACAGTATTAGGAAGGAAGAAGAAAGAAGACAAGGAATGGATCTCGACGGATACCTGGAAGCTGATAGAGGAGAGGAGGATGGTGAAGCAGAAGATAAACCAGTGCAAGGATGCTCAACGACAAGAGGAACTGAGCACAATGTATAAAACACTGGATAAAGAAGTGAAGAAGAGTGCACGCAAAGACAAAAGACACTTCTACGACACACTGGCAAGTGAAGCAGAACAGGCTGCAGGTAAGAGAGACCTGACGACATTGTATCAAATAACCAGGTTGCTATCAGGGAAGAGACCAACACAGATGAAACCAATAAAAGATGAAGAAGGAAATTTAATTACAAAAGAAGAGAAACAGAGGAAACGATGGGCCGACCACTTCAAGAAGCTCTTGAATCGACCACCACCTGCACTTCGTCCAGAAATACCACCTGCAGCCGCTGAATTACAAGTGAACATAAATCCCCCAACGAAAATGGAAGTCCTGAACGCCATAAAGCTACTGAAATGCGGGAAAGCAGCAGGACCAGATGGAATACCGCCAGAAGCACTGAGAACAGATGCAGAGACAACAGCGGACATGCTCACACCACTATTGCAGAAGGTGTGGAGGGAAGAGAAGGTACCTGACGATTGGAAGAAGGGTTACCTTGTCAAACTGCCGAAGAAGGGAGACCTCAGTGCTTGCAAGAACTGGCGCGGAATCACTCTCCTATCCACCCCAAGTAAAATATTAAGCCGCATCATCCTGGAGAGGCTTAAAGACGCACTGGATTCAAAACTGCGACCGGAACAGGCAGGCTTCAGGAAGTACAAATCATGTGCTGACCAAATTGCAACGCTTCGTATCATCATAGAACAGAGCGTAGAATGGCAATCAGCTCTATACCTCAACTTCATCGACTTTGAGAAGGCCTTTGACAGCGTCGACCGAGAAGTAATTTGGAAACTGCTTCAATACTACGGAGTACCGCAAACCTTTATCCGCCTCATTCAACAACTATATGAAGATGCCACATGCCAAGTAATCCACAATGGGAAGCTCAGTGATGCCTTTGAAGTGAAGACAGGAGTGAAACAAGGTTGCCTACTATCCCCCATGATATTCCTAATTGTGGTGGACTGGATCATGCAGCAAACAGTAGGCAGCGAGAAGAGGGGGATACACTGGACGACGGAAAAGAACCTAGAAGACTTGGATTTCGCCGATGACTTATGCCTAATGTCACATAAACTTGAAGATCTGCAGGCAAAAACTAACAAGTTGACAGAAGAGGCAGCTAAGACGGGACTTCAGGTGAATATAGAGAAGACAGAAGTGATGAAGATACCGCACCACCACCATCAACAACAACAACAACAAACTCCAATCACCGTCAACGGGAGAAACTTGAAGGAAGTAACCTCCTTCACTTATCTAGGAAGCACTGTTTCAACTACAGGCGGGACGGACGAGGACGTCAAAGTCAGAATCGGAAAAGCAAGACAGGCGTTCATTAGCCTGAAACCAGTGTGGAGATCTTCTGCACTCAGCATGCGGAACAAGATACGGATTTTCAACACCAACGTCAAGTCAGTGCTCTTGTATGGCTCAGAGACTTGGCGCGTCACGAAAGGCATTTCCAATAAACTACAGACATTCATCAACAACTGCTTACGCTCGCTGCTGAAGATCAGATGGCCAGAAAAAATAAGCAACAAGGAACTCTGGGAACGAACCAACCAAGAACCTATCACGCAACAAATATGCAGGAAGAAGTGGAGATGGATTGGCCATGCACTGAGAAGGCCGACTGAGGACATCACGCGTCAGGCCCTCGAGTGGAATCCCCATGGGAAGCGACGAGTTGGACGTCCGAGGGTGACATGGAGGAGGTCGTGCGAGGAGGAAATGAGAGCTTCTGGGCTGTCGTGGAACCAGGTTCAAAAGATCTCAGAGAACAGAGGTCACTGGAGGCGTGCTACTGAAGCCCTATGTTCCACTAGGAACCCAAGGGACTAATAATAATAAATAATAAAGACAGTAGCTGCATCTAAAGTACTCCTGCGGTGTTTGTAAGGAAACTGTTTTGGATCTCTGAAGGTCATCAATGAAGGCTCAAACATTAAGTCCGAATAGTTTTCAAGCCTATAGCTTTACTACACATAAACTATATAATCAGATCACCTTATTTTTGAAAGTGTAGATGCATCAATAATGCTGAGTAGAAAGAAAGACAAAGTTCCCAGTGCGAAATCTAACTGCTGCTTCAGTTGAAGAAATGAAATTGGTCAGTGAATCAGGGATGAATGTTGATGTCTCGGATAGACTACGACCAGATAATGGCAGTGTAACTTTTGACCAGTGTCCACTAATCGTCCCAACCATCTGTTGAAGAAGAATTCTGGTCCCAGTTATGAGAATATCGACTGAAATTGAGTAACTTACACACTAGGTAGTACTCAAGAGATATGAAAATACCTAATAAACGCTTAGTGCGCAGAGAACTGTATGCTCCAATCATACACAGAACGAAGATTTGGTGGCTGAAGATATATCCTGCATGTATTTTTCATGCACTTATTCGATGTTTCTTTGTGATAAGGGGAATACAAGCGCACCTTATCAACCGATCAAAATTAAGTCTGACGAGGACTTGTACAAGCACAAAGAATTTCAACACAAATCAACTTTAGATTAAGCACCGATTGAGTAGCTACTTACTATAATCATTGAACATATTGCCCTACAACGCATTAAGTGTAACAAGACATGAACCCGATGAACGACTTACTTGGGTGGTTTAATATGAATATGAACATAATGATCGCCATATCCATAACCGTTTATCCGACTGATACCTTTCCCTGGTAATCGTATTCTATCATTACTGCATGATCCGGCTGGAATCTAAAATGAAACAGTACAAATTATTATGTATACATCAGTAGTATGTATGCACATTCGTTGTGTCACTTTTGAATGATGAGTGAAAATGATCTAATTTCGTAACTAAATAAAATTCATGGCTAATAGACAATTATTTCACATACTCCTTCACTGTTCATATATTTACAAGCATGTGGAACGTTGCTAAAACTTCTCACTGCATTTTCGCTGAACACGTAAGTCTTGATCTCAAAAAGAAGGCATTCAGTTCCGATTGTATACCATACAACAACCAATAAAGAATATTGTCTCAGATGTAGCAACTTAAAATTAGGTACGGTAGTAAATTTACTCACGTATTTTAAAAAGTATATTGGGTGAGAAATGTACTGCTAAATAAAGACTATTACTAAAAGCAAAAAGTCATAAATGGAAGCGTAAAAATGAAGATACTAAATGCATCGTATTTTACAAAATAAGCTCCCTTCGCACCCACCTACCTACCCTCCAGTGACTACAAGGAATATGGTACGATAAATCTTGAACGGCTGGTTCGGTTTTACTTGGGTAGAAATGATTTAACAGTTCAAATAAATGCGTTCAAGAAGAAAACATTAAATTTCATGCTGTATACAAAACAACACTACAGTGATCTTTGTATCGTGAATTAGATCTGACAGAAGTCGTGGTTTCCCAAAACTACTTCTGGTAATCATACCACTCATTCATCATACATATTACCTTTCTCCAAGGTACTACTCTGTAATCGAGTGAAAGTGTTTGCATTAGACTGCACGCAAAGGATGGTGTTCATTCATATTAGCCACAGCAGTTAGGGTAGAATTTAACTTTATGAAGCACAGATTTAGATTCAATGTGTTTAACCTTCCCATAATTTTTCACTCTATTCAGGCCTAGTAACAACAAGTTACTCAGTAATGTGACCAATAGTAGTACACATGATTCAGAAACATAGGTTAAGGCTTGTACTGGTTATATGAAGACAAGCCATCATTCATTACACTTGAAATGATTGAATAAACGATGTAGCACGCAGTATAAGAGTAAAATCGTTTGAAATTATTACATCTAATCATGTCGGTGGTGTTAAACTACATAAAAAACAAACTATAAAATTGTAACAGTAAAGATTTGGAAACAATCACACCAATCGAGAATATGGCAAATGACACAAAGAATAAGCGAATGCACTACCATGTCACCAGAGAAATGTATACCTCAAGGTGTGTAAGTAGGTCAATACTGAAGTTAAATGTGACAACCAAAGTCAATGAACAAGTCCGCGCTTGCACGATATCAAGCAGTGACTAAACATATTTCAAGATGAGTAGCCAATTATTTCCTTACTTATAAAAAGAATTATCTGGAACCACTTCCATCTTCACAGGTAGAAAAGCCTACAATTACTTCGAGTCATTAATAGGTCGGTCCACAACCACTGAACAAAACTATGAAAGTCAATAACTGAAAGCTATTTGACCAAATTTCACGTTTTTTCATTGCTTGCAGAATTCAAAATTACCAGTGTACGCGTTAGAGGAAGATAAAAGACGTTTAAAAAAGTCTAACCAAGAAGAAACAATAAACTATAAAATCAGCGCCTGAATGTCTTGTCTACAGGATGGTGAAATAACCCAACAATAAGCGACAGGAAATAATGCGGATGATCGACTATGTTTGAGACTGTGCTCTAGGCTGCTAGTCACATCTCGTAACCCACTTCTGTTAAGGGTCAATGTCCAAACCAATAACTCACAGGTCTATAAAAAGGGACATAAAGGCACAAACTACACTCATTTCTAATGGTTGCATATTTCGTATGATACAAAAATATACAACTTCCGAAACAGTACAATTTTACTTTTCCTTACAAAAAGGGAATTTACCTATACACAATATATGCTACTTCACTGTAACGTATTTTAAAGGTTTCATCAGCATTATTAACTACTGAGTAGTCTTGAAGTATACGGAATACTGTCAGAAACACTTAAAATACGCATGAAAACTCAAAAATACTGATCGAATATAAGTAACATGCAGAGTAACAAAGGTGAGATAAATAAACTTGAAGAGCATAAAGGAGGCAGTTGATGTATTAGGTATGTAGAGGTGAAGATCACTTATCGAAGACCTCGACTTCCAATCAGCGGCGAAAGAATTGCGCTCACTAACTGGCTGACTAACTAATCAACGTAAAACCCTGCATACAGATGCATCAGCTCAAGTTGTCACACTTTACAGCAGTAAGCATAGAACAGGTAGATACGAAAAGATTGATATCAAAGTAGACCAAGATGTATGAGAGAATAAACAGTTTTAAGACAACAGTTAGTGCAAATATTCAAGATTTCGAAGACGTCAATGAGTGAATATATCTGCGCTATTGTAACCGATCTCCAGACACATTACCACGTGTTCTCAACCACTTATTCATCTCGTCTTGTGGAACCCATCCAGGCAGTCTACATCTCCTCACACGACTCAGACGAATAGTTAGGAACTTCACACACTGGTGCAACGTTTTGGTCAGGCTACTCTGAACCTTCTCCCAACCCAATTCAACTTCCCGTAAAATGGCATCTAAGGAAGGCGGTGACTCGGTACGCGCAGTACATATTCATGTCATCTGATTCGACTGAGGTTCACAACCTCATCGGCTGACTTGCCTGTCTTACCTAGTACCCTTCTTCTGACCTCAACATTGCTCACACGGTGATTCTACCAAAGGCGAGAGATACTACGAAAACATCTGTAATCGAAACCCTGTAATCGCTTCATATCTACTTCCAATGGCTATGTCACAACCGTTTGACAGAAGTGCTGATTGTCATCTTGTTGTTACTTCTCCATACAACCACCAATGTGACCATTTGCGAACTACCATGAAAGCATGTTAACAACACTGCTAAGGTAACTGGTTTTATTATGGCCTCTTTCCACTATGTCTGTTTGGCAGTGTTTTACCTCAAAGAACAATCGTTCAAACAAGAACTCATGAAATCATTTTGGTATACAGGTTTCGCCACTATATCAAAGCAGCAGCTGTCAGTCGGGCAGCATAGCATGAAAAACATAATACGGCATGTATTAACAGAACAGAGTAAAGTTTAGGAGTAAGAAGAATATATGGAAAACCGCTTACATTGACTAGCATACTCTCATAAATGCCTTGTACTCGCGTTTTCCCACCCAACGCAGCTTGGGCAAGTGAGATCACAATATCTGAATGTACATCTGCACCTTCTCGTCGAAACTGATGGCTTTTTTCCACACGAATTTGCAAGAATATTTCTTGATTATGAGAACCATCCTTACCAACAGACACTCGTAGGACCTGGCCATCTTCTACGCCTAGTAACCAAAAGTACAGGAAATATGCATACAGCTTTAAACAATTAAAAACCACTAGAAAATATGATAAGCAGTTAATGCATAATGCCATCCAATTCATTTCTTATTTGCAGACTAGATGCTGGTAGAAAACCAACACTGGAGCATTATCCTATATTTAGCCGGTGCGAAGTATTCTTAGTATTTGCTTGGAACACTGTACATCTAATGTGTACCTTCAGGAACCAAAAACATTGCTCGAGTAACCCAACTTTACTATAGGTTGTTTGGGTAGTACATGAACATCAAAATGAGAACATAAGTCATATCGTTTAATAGGAAAACTTTTTGGAAAGAAAATTGAGGGAATATCTTTCGTGGATGCTACCGACTGTTTTTTGCTTAAAATAGCTATTTAAAGTTAAATGCGTCCGAAATACATCTCTACCAACATTGAATTCCCAAAGGTAAGAAGAGTCAGTTGATGAGGTTGTGAACCTCAGTCGAATCAGATGACATGAATATGTACTGCGCGTACCGAGTCACCGCCTTCCTTAGATGCCATTTTACGGGAAGTTGAATTGGGTTGGGAGAAGGTTCAGAGTAGCCTGACCAAAACGTTGCACCAGTGTGTGAAGTTCCTAACTATTCGTCTGAGTCGTGTGAGGAGATGTAGACTGCCTGGATGGGTTCCACAAGACGAGATGAATAAGTGGTTGAGAACACGTGGTAATGTGTCTGGAGATCGGTTACAATAGCGCAGATATATTCACTCATTGACGTCTTCGAAATCTTGAATATTTGCACTAACTGTTGTCTTAAAACTGTTTATTCTCTCATACATCTTGGTCTACTTTGATATCAATCTTTTCGTATCTACCTATTCTATGCATTCCACTGTGAAGGGTAGCAAATTAAACCAAGTTTCTACTTTGTTTTTGTTTGTCTGTCTGAAATGCCAGAACTGTAAATATTCCGTCTGGTACACCAGTACGTACTTGTGTTCCACAGCTTGATGAAAGGAAGTAGCTGAACTAGTAGGCTGGCATTAAAGCTTCACTGAACACTAAACACACCCAAAATGAAAGTTAAGAAACACGCCTTATTACCTATATAAGTGAAAACTATGATAGATGACAGCTAAATGTTGCCATCAATATAATTTTTATTTTGTTTTTGACGCAATGGAGGTGAAAATCACCACAACTGGTTTTTATACATTAATATAAGCGTAAAACTTGGGCACTATGGTATGTAATTTCATACTTGTTTGTTTGATATATATATCTCACAGTGATACAGTATTATCTACTTCATGGCGTTTCGAGCACTTGTCATAATCACATCAATGGTTTCTGTACACCCATGTGACACGGCACCAAGCTACTGAACCGCATGTGCTTATTAAACCCATCAAAAAAGCGGTTATATATTAACAGATGTATAAGAAGCATTATCCTGCAATTTACGGCAAAACATCAAATAATGACGGCTTATGCGATTCTTCATTACCCCGTGAACAAAGAAAGGTAAGAAATAGCATGAGCCCTACAAGAGAGAAACGTGTCCACGAAATATCACACTTCCCAAATTTCAATCACTCAGCACTAACATGGAATCTGATGTTTATTGAATAATGGTTGCAGTTGATATACACAATTTCAGCTCATAAACACGTGTTTTCGAACCATTCGAAAAGATAACTAGCCCGATTAGCAGATTAATTCCTGAAACATTTTACCTGTCCCCAAAAATTCTATTGCCTGCTATACAATCAGACCAGAAATGGAACCCAGAGATAACCAATCCGACTCATTAAGAAGTTGGGAGCTATTAATAACATGAAATAAGCAGGGACAATAGGCTCAAATGAGATAATACCAGACGTATTTCAATACCGTAACATTGGATAATGTCGCACACACTGTATCTCACGCTAACGAACGGGAATTAGATGCAGTCTTCTCTGACTGGTTCTAATCACTGGTTATCGAAGTCCTCAAGAAGGTAGAGGTATCCTCCGGTGACAAACATAAGAAAATCAGGCTGGCCAACATAGGGTCCCAGATCCTAGGTCCTATAGTCCCTAGACGCCAAAGTGAGGTTCAGGAACAGTGAACTCGAGGAAATCAGACCTGGTCCTGGGTGTATCGACCGAACATTCACCACCATCAGCTTCTGGAACACAGACATACCGGGCTGCCAAAATTAGCTGTATTTCTTGACCTTAAGGCGACACTCAACTCCGTCAATCGAGAAGTTTTAAGGCAGTGTTATCATCTTCCTTTTAATTATCATAGAGTTTTCGTAGTTTTTTCACTTTTTTTTCTTAAGACTTTCAACTACTTTTGATTAGTTTCCTTGTAACCTCCCCACCCTTAACCTTGGTATCCTATCATGATTCGCTGGTGTTACTTGTGGGACCTTACAAAGTAACGCCAAATTCCCAGGTCTGATGTTGTTATTCAGTAACTGATTTACTAGCTGTAATTTACAGTCCAAGGAAAATCAAGGTGAGAAGGAACTACTTGAACATAGAAACATGAACTATGCGCGAAAAATTGCCGGTCAATTACCTGCAGGAATGGATACGCTGACTCGATTACGGCCTATTACCTTGCCATTGCCTTCACATTCTATACAGGGACGTCGAACAATAGTTCCAGTACCCTTGCATCGTCTGCAAACACTCCGAAGCAAATACGGCCCAGTATTTAAGCTTTCAGTCCCTGTTCCACGACAACTTGGGCAGGTTGACATGCCCGTGCCAGGCTCAGCACGTGAACCTCCGCAGCGAGGACAATCAGTTACCATATTAACGTTGATATCTTTGTTGACACCCCGAGCAGCCTACAAGGATGAAACAATCAAGAATGTTGTATAAAAAGTTGTATCCAACATACACCAAATGATCACAGTGGTCACACAAAATTCGACACACCAAACTAAGAATCACACATTTTTAGTCTTTTTTGGTGTAGAACTGTGGTTCATTGATTAGGATAAATGAGGTTCATGCATACACTGACGGATCACACGACATAAAATCTTGGTTGACCATTCAGTCCCACTAGCCGTCGCACACTAGGTGTACCTCAATTTCGGGTGTATGAAACTGCGTGTCTGTTGGGTTGCATTGTTTCTGCATATCACATTAATCTTCTTTGGTAAACCAATGGTATTAAAAAATGATACATACGCCTGTGTACGGTCATAAAGTAAAACATTAAACACCAGTAACAGCAATTAAGTGTATGTGAAGGCACAAGGGAGTAGATATCAACATTAAATTTATGTTCTAAACTTGAGGGGACCACAGTGAATGTACCTGATTTTACGTGTTCTTAGTCGAGAAACCAAAGTTATTCACAAAAGGTGGTAAGAAATGCACCTCAGAAGTGTATTGAATATATATATATATATATATATATATATATATATATATATATATATATATATATATATATATATATATATATACATCGTTTTGTAGAACTGATACCTTGCGGCTGTTAATAAATTGTTTCAGTCCGTTTAAACGAGGATGGCATGGTACAGACGAGAGAGGCTGGGTGTTATACTCCTGCCAGAATTTACAAAAACAACTTGAGGCGAATCGTGCCGAATTGTCAGGAAGTGTGTTTGATTTTTTTAAACGATAAAACATTACCCTCCACTTTCTTACCGTAGCTACTGTAGAAGTATTCTGCATAAAACTGAGTTCTCGTCAATTTGAAAATCCATCAACCATCCCTAGAAAACGTCTTTAAAATAGATTAGAGGAGTCCACATTAATTCATGACCCGGTATGTTTCGGTATATGTAATTATTTTAATTCCACTTTGACGTGTAGCAGTAGAAGTTGCGCATCTGTTAAGATTTCGGACAGTATATTTCGATTAACAACTTACGTCAGGCATATACGTAGATTTGAATAACTGCCATCATTCTACTGACACTGGTAAGTACATCACCTTATTGAAAGCTCTCTACTCGAACACTTGTGGGCATGTTAGAGCCTATGAAGAGTTGTCCAGGGAGCTATACTCATCGAGTAGTGTCCGTCAAGAATGCCCACTGTCTCCATTTTTATTCAATTTTATCATAGATATTCTTATGGAGGTCTACCTCTAGTCACCTAATTACACAGACGTTGACTTAATCACAGGAGAATTCTTGTTAGACCTAGAATATGCAGATGACATAGCGCAGATCAATACCTTTATGTAATTGTTGCTGGTAGGGTTATTTGAATGACGAGGTGACACTTTTCAAGCACTTTATTAGAAAACTCTCAGTGGATTTTAATTTTGGCAACCACGTCTTGTCGTTTGCTTCATGATTGTATTTCCTTTTGAATGAAACTTTTATTGATGACGACTAAACCAATCCAGTTTAGTGAAACTCTTGCTTCATTCGTCGTTAAGAATCAAAATCCCAGTAGTGTGCAATCATATCCCTATCAACACATTTTTCATCATCAGTTCTAATTGGTGAAGAGCCATTTGGTCAGTTTTTGGTCACGGTATCACCAATGCTTTCACATATATCTAACAACCTAAGACCATAGTTTATATGTAACTGTTATTGTAACAAGTCAAATGGTTTGCAAGCTAACTAGAAACGATGTTATGAAGTCTCTCAACATTTAACACTAAAGCTACCATTTGCACAGAACAGTCATGTAATGGATAGAATGTAAGTTAATTAACAGTCCATTTCTTGAACATTTCATCAGCTCTGGATATAAAGCTCTACCATAGTCCTTCTTCAGTGTCAATCACAAAGTCAAACGAAATAGGTCAAAAGGAGTATGCTTCCGACAGTTGTGCACAGCAGAAGCAATGCCAATACACCAACTGAGGTCTGGTCTCTGCGTTTATAGTATTTTTAACATCTTATCTTACCATGGTCTAAACACTTTCACAAATTTCGATTTCATTCTGATTAGTCAGTTTATTATTATTTTCATTATGACTCTTGTTTCATCCTCCTCCCTTTTTATATCTACCAAGTGAATACTCAATATTGGCATTCCACATCCACCAACAATTCCCACCTTGTCAAACTCCTTGCTTCCCTCACTAGTTCCACTGTCTAAAAGATCATTACACAACTGTTTCCAATTCTTGATTTCCAGTTATTAGCACTAGCTTAATGATGTAAGTATACCCTATCGTTTATATATATATATATATATATATATATATATATATATATAAGTACGATTGTACAGTGTTACAAAATAACATCGAAAAAGAACATTTTTCTCCACTGATTTGTTTCTTTTCTTCATGAGGCCATCAGCGTACTTCGTCCTACAATCATCCAAGTCAAATGCCCAAATTTTCATTCATCTACGACAATCAGTTCTCTATAGTCAAGTCCAGTGGGACATGTGTATCTATGTCCTTTTCTATTTAAAGTGTGAATACCAACGATATCGTTTCACCTTGCATTAACTTATCTTTTCCTGGATTCTTGTGAACTTGACAAAAGTATCCGCAACACCAACCCAAGTTACAATTTTCTCAATCTATATCACTCAAGTAGAGTAACAAAATTCCTCATGAAAAGTGTGACTCTAAATGAGAACCTTGTACTGACACCTCAATTATCAGGTTACATAATGCATCTACTTTGAGGTAAATGTTAAGCCAAGAGAATGAAAGGTATTTTAAGTAAACAATATACCTGCTCAAAAGTAAGGCTAATAGCGATTTCCTTGGTGGTATCGGATCCGAAAATTGACTCCGCAAATCCCTTATCCCCACTTGACCATTCTTTAAAGGTAAATTCACTGTCACGGAATATACGCCGAAATAGCTCTTCTGGGTTTATGTTGGAATGAAACTCAAAACCCTGTGACTGACCACCTCCGAAGTTATTTTGTGTTGAAGATGTTCCAAATTTGTCATACTGACTGCGTTTGTTTTCATCGCCTAAAACCTATAGGTCGGTTATTAACAGACCGCAATGACTCACTTCGTATGCTTCGCTAACCTCCTGAAACTTTTGTGCAGCTGTCTTATCATTTTTGTTGACATCTGGGTGAAACTTTTTCGCCAGCTGAGAGGCTAATACAAGATTTCATGATGCTTACCTGATAATAAGCCTTTTTGATTTCAGACTGACTGGCAGATTTGCTGACTCCTAATATGCTATAGTAGTCCTTCAGCAAAGGTATAGAGGAGTATAAAGTTCTAAATGTAGCCTTCGAGGCCCCAGCTTTTCGAGACTGTAAAACAACGCTATGTAACACTTACCAAGTCGACTAACCAAGGAGATACTTCTAAACGCCATGCCGTAGCGCAACGTCTGGGCACCGCGGCTGGTACTGACCTGTTCTGTAAATCTATTCCAACCTCAATCTTTGCTTTAGAAACAGACAACGATTCTCACATTCTATGCTTTTCGGATTTTATTTCGAATGGTACATCGAAAGCTATCTTCCCAAAATTTAAGTGGGAAGGCTTGGGAGGAAACGAATTCACTCTATAAGAAATTTGTTTAACTCTCTCCAAAGACCAGTCAAAACAACTGTCTGGCAACTCGACGGCTGAAGGACCGTACTGTACCAGAGTTTTGGGTAAACTAACCAACACTCAATCACCTGTTCTGTATGCTAGAACTATAGCAGATGAGTGGCTGGATCTACTGCGTCACAATCCGCCGAAGATCTGGAACCGTCCAGAAAACCTAGATGCAAGTACGAGGAAGCTGACTGATTTACATAGGAACCTTTTGGTACAGTTTTGAACCAACATCAGAACCAGAAGTGCGAGCAGAAGGAACTTGTCTTTACAGATCTCTCTTCTAGGTCTTGAGGTTTGGTACTTTCTGTTTGGTTACACTACTTTACTGGCAACAGAAGTTTTTGCATTTTTCCTGCTTGTAGCTTCGGAGGTAGCGACTTTCTTTTCGCATGCATTTTTGCTTTGCAAGGTGTGGCTTGGCTTTTGGGGGCAGCAACAGGACTGTTGATAAGAACAACTATCCCATTCCATTCCGGACTTTTCAAGCAAACGCCAAGCCTTATTTAAAACTTACTGCTGGAAATAGGGAGCTCCGAAAAAGATCGAAAAACAAGTGAGAAGTACTTGTGGGAAATGGATGTTACTTGTAGCGATATGGAGAAGGGGTGGGACTTATTGCAGATACTAAGGTTGGGGAGTGTGAAGATAGATAAGTGGGGGAAGAACAGAAAAAGCTGTAGCGTCACACACTTCTCCAGGATCATTAGATTAGGGCTCAACGAGATTCAAGACTGATGCTGACCTTGGTGGTTTTACTGGACTCACCAAGCTGAAAACATCCGGTCAAGCGCCCATGCCATTTGGCACGCTGTCATGTTACGTTGCACTCCTCGTAATCGACCCTTTGACCAGTTAATTGGAACTGATAGGTATCTTGGCACGACCTCGCAAATATACTGTTCGATATAATAATAACAACATTACTATGCTAGTGTGCTCGTTCCTGGTCTCGTATTCGTAGGCATATAACAGGTACGAATAATTAGTGAGTGGCCTCTGCGTCTGTCAAGTTCGCACCTGGATATTTTTTTAGAAAGCTTTTACTTAGATGTCTTTCATTTCGGGAGGTAATGAACTGTATTTTCTTTTGGTGACCAATTTATTTGCGTAACAACGAGGGAGAATATGACGATATGATTAAACCACCACAAGCACACCGAAAGGGTGTAGGATCCTTTTATGTAATATTTCGACGAAGCTGGCTAAACCGTTCAAGCCGGACAAGCGTTACGAGATAAAGTAGATCCTATGAAGTATAATTTTCACCCGGCTTATAACCTTCTATTTTCTGAGCTTAATTTATGCATGTGATCCCCAAGAGTGGTGTTAAAAGTAAAAGCAAATGATGGGGGATGCCCATGGATGTTTAGGATACAGTTGGCTACCATAAGATCCCCTCCTAGTCTTCTGTATTTCAGAGGATAAATGTCAAGCGATACCATTTGTTTCTGATATCGTTTCGCACAGACTTTTTAAACCTCCTCCGGACTCATCCAATACTTAGTTTGCCTTTCTGCGGGGACAGCGAAGAGAGAAGACGTGGTCCTGAACCGCTGAGAATTCTGCGGTAAACCCACAATCGTAACTTCTGAGAGCCCGTTCGAAAGATAAAAGCAGCACGTTGCCATGAGGTGAGCTTCTGTCACAGTCGGCGCCCCACAGTTGATCCTGAGAGACTAAAACACTCAAATCCCTCTCTATCTGTGACACCCCTTGTTCTCTACCCCTAAGAGTATACAGGGCATACGCCGTGCCTGATATTTACAACCTTACGTTTTTTAGAGTAAAATCAAAGTCCATTTTTGAGTGTCCAATTTCGAAGTCGTAATGAATCACTAACTTTCCTGCTCCTGATTTCTCCCCATAGTTTCACGCCATCGGTGAAAAGAAATGAGGAAAGAACCTGTCGGAGCAAGCTGTTTGTTTATATTAGACAAAGGAGAGGGCTTAGCGCTGAACCTTAAGTAACTCCACTCGGACATTTTGTTTCCTCAGACGGAGAAAAATTCACTCCATTTCTAAATAAACGGCTATGTAGACATAAGGACAACCAGTCGATATGCAGTGAATTCCTCTGCACCAACCTCAGTCGATCAATGAGACGGTCGTAGGTAACAGGATCAAGCGCTTTTACAAAATTCTAGATCAGTAACATGAGTTCACTCTTCACGTTCAGTAGTGCCGATCCCATGATCTAATAATAATAATATATTTCATGCAACAAAGGTTACATGAATACAAACCAGTTTACAGGTTTGATCACTTTGGTAATGGGAGATAACTATTATGTACAATGTTATGCTATACATTAGATGCTGTGATTTATGGCATATAGGAGGCATGTTGAAGCAGGCTCAGTTCGAATTTGAAGATTATCCGGTCATCGTTTGAATCATCCAATATTCTCGAAGGTGAGGCCGCATCACATTCATGACCTTGGGGTGTGCGCGTTCGTCATCAGGTTTCGGTGCCAATATTTCCCACTTACGAATGCGATTTGTAGGATTCCATTTGAATGAAGGACTGGTTAAGTAAATCTGAAAAGTGAATAACAAAAGCGAGCAGCAGGCGAAATTTGTAACAGGGGCACAAAAATACGCAGGAGTAGATCGACCATGATACATCTGGGTGAGTTTGTACTGACTATTAAACTTACTTGAGGAAGTGTCCAGAACCAACTGTTTAGAGGTAAGCTTAGGTGGAAGAAGATGAAGGTGCGCACGACAGTAATGAAAGTCAGCCTGAAGCTGAAGATATCACTACGGATACTACTCCGGCTAGTTAATAATGCGAGAATAACCTTCTCCATATGAGTGTTGCTGGGTCGTGAAGAAGTTGATTGTCACGAGGTGACCTCTCAGTCCCTTACAGACCAAAGATTCCGGTTATATGAAAGGTATAGATGGGTGTCACTGGTCTTTAATTCTTTGGGCTATTTCGCCAATCTGCCTTGTAGATTGGTGCTATATGATGTAACTTCCAAGGCCTGAGTACGTCCACTTGAGTTGGAAGACGTTTCAACAACTCTTTCTTGAAGAACCATCCCACAGATAGTTTGTAAGCATCAGCAGTTTGCAGCGTACCAGCTGAAAGCCTAAATCAACGACCGACTTCTGCATGGTCAGTGGGATAGTCGCACACTCCAACGTAGGTGGTCGAAAATGAAAAAATCTCCAAGTATTGATCGGCTTAGAGCTCCACTGCCTTAGTGTCAGTGCGTGTCGGCCCTTTTCATCCTACCTGTCGACGGACTTCTGTTTTGATCCGTTGGAGCGGCGCAGCACAACGGAACAGATTTCTCGAGTTAGAGACGGACATATTTTTAAGCTTAACTTAGTGCCACTGCCTGTTGGCTTTCACTGCTTCTGCGCATGCACTGTTGTTTCTCTAGATAGCTTGCAAATGTTTGCGTTACCATTGCCTTTACGACTGGCCTAATGATATCACTTTGGTCTCAGTAGTTAAACAGTAAAGTTGCTCATTGTCTCAGTTGAGTTGGATATGACAGGGTAGCGGACTGGCTGATGGTAAACAAGATTTAGTCAAGTAAAATTTTCAGTGAGTGTTCTGACTCTGTCACACAGTCAGATCCACAAATCGTTTCTTCTGGTGCCGTTCTAACAACTAAGATTTTCAACCAATTGAAGTTCAAATCGAAATCATTGATAGTGGATCAGCCGATAGCGACATGATAATTCCCACACAAAGGTGACAAGTTTTGTCGGGCTGTCTTTGAAGACGACTTTATTTGCGAAGATTCAGTCAACGCAAGACGTGGCTTTAATCCAGTTCCTCAGCGGAGTTCAAAATCAACGTTCACTGGAGCCACCAGTTCCGCTGAGCACATGGTCTACAGAGCTTAGCTCAAATAGATTAAAACCTGGTAATAGTGATGATAATTACTCCTGAGTTTACAGGCACACACCATTTTTTCAGGTATGAATTAGTTACCGTACAAATAACAAGTATCTTCATAGCAGGTAATCTCAACCCCTACCTATTTTATCACTTGAAGAATTAAGTGCCGCATGTTTATGTGGTGGAATATCCCAGCGGGATGAGCGTGCAAAAATTCACAGGTTGGGCTGTCTCCATATCAACAGAAAAACCGGGTTTGCATCTCAACATTACATGCTAAGCTTGAAGCTAACACTTCCATTGTGATAGTTTGTACTGTTTGCCCAGGATGATGATGAAAGGTTCACGAGGAAATGTATGCACAGATTGTTTATTTATTGCACCACCTTGATGATTCCAGAAATGTATAATTCATGTCTGTCAGTACCATTTTAAACCGGAGATTCATAATCCTGATAAATAGTAACACCGAGAGCCAAATATCTTCATTCTTCCAACTCCAGTAACCAGAAGCGATGTGTTTGTTAGGAAGCGTAAGGCGGACCCCTAGAATATCTTGTCCGCCGTTTTCATGGGTCGTGGCAGCCTTGTGGTCTATTGGGGTTAGACTTTCCTGGTCACTCTCTTAATGAACAAATCCTAGGTTTTGATGATTGGGAAGTTGTAGTCCAATGAACGTTCTTTGTTTCTTTTTGTTGTGGTCAGGCATTGCGGGCATAGTCACGCTGTCCAGCCCTTATGGAGGGGGCCTTAGTCAGGATCTGTTCCTTAAATAATTAATTTCCGATGACAATTGAGCCAACATTTAGAAATGAATAGCTTTTCTGCAGTGAGAAAAAAGCAGGAACAGAGCAGCAGGCAGAAAAAGAAGACAGAACTCCAACAAGGAATGTGTTTCCCATGTCGATG